TAAGGTGCAATTTTTTCACCTTGTTCCTTTTTTAAAATACTTCTGATAGTACTATAATTCTTGGGTTCCATGGTAGATCTGATATAAATTAACTTCATATTAACTATTTTTAGATAGAGGTAATTCTATATATATCACTTAAGATAACAAATTGTAATCACATTGCAAATTTTGATCCCTGAAATCTTTGGTAATACCAATGTTCACTTTGTCTGGTTTTGTTGCAGCATGCCCCATATAATAAATTTATGTATCTTTGATTATTATTATCATAGATTTAGATCATCAATAAAATCAGCATCAGCAACTTCATTATTATCTTCTCTCAATCAAACCATAATTGTTCCCTCATATTCGTCCTCCTCCTTTTCTTCAGCATCTTCTCTCTTTGATGCGAAGAAAATCAACTAATGATTTCTTGTTAATTATTTTATACATTTATTATAAGGAAAATAAGAATTGACTCACTTCCCGATCGTGCCCGATTTTTACCCGGAAAAGATAAGATTTGTTTGTTGCACGAAATTTAATTGTAATACGAATTACGTAATTATAGATTAAATCATATTTAATGCAAAGCAAAATGAATATTAATATTTGACATATGGGAGGTTTTCTCAAATTGTTAGACGAATTATTTTTGATATTAAATTATGGGTGTAACAAAATTTGAGGACCACTTGTTTAGTCCTCACATATGCCACAGGGATCAAAATTAGAGTCAATTCTTATTATTATCACTTATTCTTGTCCTTGATATACAGTTTCTTCATTTATTTCTTTTCTTTTCCTAAGAGTAACAGTAGTGGTATCAGAATCTGGATATAGTTGTACCTTCATATAAGAACCCTCCATATAAAAACATCATCTCTATAAGAACCAGATTATTATAGTAACATCCAACAAAAAAGGGTTATAATTTATTTTTAGAATAAAAATCGGGAGATTGTTTGACAAAAAATGGGGAGGAAAACAAAAATCAGCTGATTTCTCAAAAACCCTTTTTTTCCCAAACCCATATAATAATTGGAAAGAGTGCAAAAATTAGAATACCAGTAGTCTATGATCATTTTTTATATTCCATTCATGGGCCTAAAAAATTAAGTTCTGACATTGTTCTCTATGACAAAATGTACATTATTTAAATAATTATATGTGATTCAAGTATGTGTACTTTGTTTTTCAACAGTCTGAATGGTCGTATCTTGCTCTTGAATGGGAATATATTCTCTTCATAATTCTGAAATCTTTTTTTTTTTGAAATCATTATCCTATGATATTCTATTTTAAGACAAGGATCCATGACATTAATATTTTGTAATTAGTTGCAATTATATAAACCACCCCATCTGAAGTTGGGTAATACTGTTGCAATTTACATTTAGCTTCTTTTCAAATATCTTTTGGGAGTGTTAATTCAAGAAAATCTTCAATCAAGTCAATTAGATAATTGCATATAGGAATTGACTGTCCTAGAATCAAATAACATGAAATACTGATTTCTGTTGAAAACACCAAAAAAAAAAATAATTAATAGATATATCTTTGAAAATTTAAAAATATAGATACACTAAATACTTTACCTCTAATAAATTTTGAAATTTCTTCAATCCTTTTCCAATAGCACTATCTGATAATAAGTATGATCTAAGTTCTTATAGAAACAGACCATATTGTGAAAAAAAGTGATTTTAAGTTAATATAATTGTTATATGTAGCTTCTTATGTAGAACATTTTTGGCTTGAAACTATACCCACTTTGCTTGATAAAATTTTCCATTAAAGTTTTTAAAAACATTAGTATTAGTAAATTACTTGGGATGCAGATCTTTTTTCCTCAAAACATAATTTCTATTGAAGAGCCCCTGTATTATGAACCAGCTAATAAAAAAAATGAAAAGAGTTAATTTTTAGATGAAAATTTACAAATAAATAAAATGATTTTACCTAAGTAGAAGTAATGCACATTTCAATATGTATGGTCATATAAAAATTAATATATGGAGATTTATGGAAAAATTTTGGATATAATTTTATTAATAAAAAAAATAAACAAAATTCAAATTCTATAAACTTATATTGAAAAATAATCCTGCAACTTATTTTAAAAGAATTGGCTTACTTTTTGTTTGCTAAAAGTTTTACTATGACTGATTATAAATTACATTAAAAAATGTTTAAAAAATGCAAATGAAAGATCACTAATAGAAAGCTTAAGTTCTGTTTAATATAACACCAAAGTAATTCAAAAAATGATGAGGTAATTCAGAAGTTAGATGAGAAGCATTTCTAAGCATTCAAAATAAATAGTGATAAATATATTTCATTATTAAATTTTTTTTTTTTGTTATAACAACAACTCAGGCATTAAAAAAAAAATTAATGAATAACTTGTTTAAAGGTACATTTATAAACATTAATTTAACCCTTTATACTTTGAAAAAATAATTGCAACATGCTTGGATTTACTTGGCCAAAGTAGGAATATTATTATCATCAAAAGTTGCAGCCGGTACCCTTAATGTTGAATAATAATTATCTTATTAATGATGTAATATTTGAAATGGTTCTACAATATAAAGAAACAATTGCAACATGCTTGGATCTACTAGTCCAAAGAATGGTAGGAATAATATTATGTTTCATCATAGTTAATACATTACAATAGCAAGTGTGTTGAATAAATAATTATCTTATTAATGATATAATATTTGAAATTCTTTCATGAGTATTATTATAAGGGTAATATTATATACAGAAAGGTTCTTTTTATGAAATATACAGAACCTATGTGACAAATAAGGATTAATTCTTAGAGTTGGTAAACACTGTGTAATTCCTGCCACCCCCAGCCCACAAATTTAATCATCACGTCTGTGATAAATGTCACATTGGTTTTACAAAAATTTTGAGCTACAATTTAGTTTCCTTTTTTATAGAATGAATTGCTATTTTTGGTAGGGTTCTGTATATAATATTTTCCTTATTATAATTGGATGATACATTAAGTAATGACAAGATGCAAGTTCAATGCAAGCTTTCAACATCTATATATTTTTTTACAAATAATAATATTCAATTCAACATGGGAGGATGTACTTTTTTTCAAGTTTGTCATTCAGATGATAGATATTATATTTATGTTGCTTCAAACTATAGGTACATTTTATTACATGCATTATGATAATAGAAGTTTTCAATCTAGAGTTTTGATAAATTATACATATAAATACTGTCATTTGATTGTCTTGAAATTTTGCATCAGGAAAATGGGTACAAATATTATGCGTATATAATACACAATTGCAGGGATTAAGCATATAATATGCGTACAAATTGCGTATTTTTTTATGTATGCAAATTGTACATATATTATATGCTTAATCCCTGCAATTGCGTATTATATACGCATAATATTTGTACCCATTTTCCTGATGTGAAAAAGATGGTTTTATTGTTCTTGAGGATATAACATTAAAAAATTGATTAATAGTAATGATCGGTGTAATAATAAATCATCCAATCAATTTCATTATGCGTCAGCCAATCACAGAGAAAGCCCGCTATGCCTATAAAAACCATATTTGGGGCCTGATCAATAGAAACGAGGCATGTAAAAAAAATCATGTTTTGAGAAAATCAACAAATAAGATTTTGACCCCCAAAATTCATGATTTGTAGATCATTGCTAAATTTTATTAAACATTCAAAAATTCATTTATTTATATATAATAATAATAATAATTGCTTGTAGACTAATGCCATTTCACTTTTTCTCAAATATCACAAAACATTTATAAGCAAAGTGGGTATAGTTACTAAGCTAAAAATGTTCTTTGTGATGAATTACATATAAAAATATTGTTAACTCAAAATTGACTTTTTGGTGACATGCCTCGTTTCTATTGATCAGACCCCATTTCAAGAACAAAGGAAATTATGATGATAGAATAGTAGATATAACTTTTTTAGGTTTTATGATTTATGTTGTTAGAAGAATTAAAAGGAAAAAATAAATCAATATTGTAACAATGTGATTATTTTTCTTCTAAGGATTTCTGTTTTTTGTTGGATAATAGCACATCTTCATTCTGCTTTCTTTTTCCAACATTTATTATTTTTCTTTCTTCTTGGTAAATTTCATAAATAATCCTTTCTTTTCTTAGATGAGTTTCCAGTGTCTGAGCATCATTTACTTTGAAAATATAAGGGGCAATTTTTTCTCCTTGTTCTTTCTTCAAAATACTTCTGATGGTACTATAATTCTTAGGTTCCATAGTAGATCTGATGTAAATAATTTCATATTAACTATTTTATCTAGATGAATATCATGATCACGTTACATTAGTGATGACTAAATTTGATCCCTGAAATTTTTGGTAACATCAATGTTCACCACTTTGTTTGGTTTTGTTGCAGTATACCCATATAAAATTTTACTAATAAACTTTTTTTCAACAATTATAAAAATAAAAATTGCATCTTTTCAATCAAAAAAAGATACAACTATAAAATTAAGAGATATTATAACAAATGTAATGGTGACAGAGAGCTTTTTTAATTTTATTAGTAAAATCATCCAAAATGTTAAAAATACTGTTAAACTTTGAAATGTATAGGTTCAATAACCAACAAGTTAGATTAAAAAAAATTCCGCAGTTTTTTCTCTGTGATTTAAAGAATAACCTGACAGAGAGTTTTTTTTAAAATTATTAGTAAAAAAAGGTTTATTAAATGATTAATTCATGATTCTTTTAAGAATGAGTGAATTTTAATTAGTGATCAGTGGGCACATTTGTAACATTTTATAGTAAAAATTATCCAGTTTGCCTTACATATCCTATTGTAACATGATGTTTCCACTTGCATTTTGTAAAAACAAACATTTGGATATCAATAAACAGACTGTTATGAATATTTTTATCAAAAAAAAAAAATTTTTTTGTTCAAGCCATTTTTGCACTATTTCAATCTTGATTGGGGATTATGGGTATAAAATCAACATAATACAAAATAATGGTTTGTCCAATTCTTTCTCAGCTGATTCTTTTTTATGTTCTCTACTGAAACATGCTATAGTGGCAATCATCTAAAGACATCATCAAAAGTTGCCAATCTTTAAGTGCTGATACTTTATTAAATATGGGCTATTTTACCAAAAACTCTCTATTTTTGCAATATTCTAGACATGAAAAATAATGTAATAGAAAGTTTTTTTTGAGTTATTTAATTAAAAAAAAAGTTATAATGGTTTAAAGTTGGGTAACTTTGCTATTTTATTTGAAATTTCGGCAACTATATATCTAAACTGAAATTTACAGATTATTTTCACAATTTTACCAATTATTCACGTGACAAAGTCACAGATCTTTTACAATTTTGGATTTATTTTTATATATTGGATTCTTTATAAAGAAAGATCAGCATAAAAATTTTCGGCAAGTGGCGCAGCACGTGATGTCTTTAGATGATTCGCACCATACTCATTTGCATCCAACTTATCTGCTTCTACTCTTTGTTTTAGATCTGTAATCATTTCTTATCTACATTTCTGACAAAAAATAGGCTCTTAGAAGTTGTTTTACTTGTTCAGACATGCGTCTACTTCTGCTATGCTTTCCAAAAATTGTTTTTCACAGAGAGCCCAGCCCAGTTCAAAGTAATTCCTTTTAAAATTAAAAGTTTTTAATTTAACATCTAGAAAATATTTATTATAATAATTTTTTTCTCTATAATGGACCATTTGGTTTAGGAAAAAATATCTGTTATAGACAATAATATTAATAATTATTTATATATGTACATATAAATTGGGCTTAAATTTTCAGTACATTATAGAGAATGGACTGTAGAGAGAACCTGTTATAGACATGTAAATTGGGCTTTCCATTATTATTATATCAATTATATATAAAGTGTGGACTGTGTCTTATTCATTTTTTTAACTGCTTCATCTTCATTCCCAGGCATCATTATATGGCGTTTTTCATTTTGTATATTTCAATTAATATTGGATAGTGCATCATTCAACAATGCAAATTTTCATAGGGAGGAGATAAGAAAAATATTTATTTAACATATACCTTTTGATTTTGTATAGGGTTTCTTCTCTAATCTGCTTTCATAATGTAAATGAGGAATGATTGAACCTAATGAAATTAAATTTTACTTTTAATAAGGGTTGGTTTAATTTTTAAAAAATTGGTTGAAGATTATTGAGATATATATGTTTTTGTAATTATCCCCACCGATCCTTATTTAAAATCAATGCAGATCACTCATTTTTAAAAGAATCACGAATTAAAGATGTACGATATTAATATTAAATTTTTTTTGATAATCATTTCCTTTTAAAGTATATTTCATAATAATAATAATAATAATAAGAATCGTAAAAATAAAATATCCAAGTTTAAATAAATTTTTAGAATTAATCAGCTTTTGAATAAGTTATATTTTGTAAAAGTCTTCGTGTTTAATAAAATACCGAAGCCCAATAGAAGAAAAAGACTAATTCATAATGCACATGCAGTCAAAAAAATGAAAACTAATTCCTCAGAACCTTTACTCCTTGTAGAATCTCCCGTAAGATTAATTGAATGAGAAAATAATGTTATTTATTTTATTAAGCATTTTCTTCAAAAGGAATAATTTTTCGAAGGAAAAAAAGACTATAATTTTTAAAAAAACTCTCTGTCAGGCTATTCTTTAAATCACAGAGAAAAAAACCGCGGAAAATTTTTTAATCTAACTTGTTGGTTATCGAGCCTATATGTTTCAAAGTTTAACATTTTGGATGATTTTACTAATAAAATTAAAAAAAACTCTGTCACCATGTGGACCATTACATTTGTTATAATATCTTAATTTTATAGTTGTTAATTAGTTATGATCTACATAGTCCATCCATCGTACAACCCAGTACCATACATACAGTACGATCCTTTGAAAATCTTGAAATAAATTTTCCTCACAATCAATCAATCAATCAATTAATAAATTAATAACAATGACGACAATAGAACCAACTACACCAAAATTCAAGGTCTATACATCAACACATTTATTTCTCTCACAAGAGATTTATTTTCAATTGACAATTTTTCAAGAAGATTCGGTTTTTGTTTGGGTTGGTAATCAAGGAAATGAATTGTTGAATAATTTGGCTGTTGCAATGCCTCCGCCAACTTCATCAATGCCAGCCACTGCCACAAATGCATTAACCAATGATATTGATGAACTTTCCAAGCAATTTGGAAAAAAGCTTGGTAAGTTTTATTATATATTTATTTCAATAATTAATTAATGTGTAAACTGAATGATTTTTAATTTTTATTAAAAAAAAAGCATCAAAATTTAAGAAACAATTTTTTGTTAGTATTAATTTACCATCCGATAATACTGATAATACGATATTAATCTTTGCTGAAAAGAAAGTATTGGAATTGATTAAAGAAATATTTCCATAATTTTTTTGCTTATTAAAAAAAAGCAAGAAATATCAATAATTAAATAAAGAAAAAGAATTTTCTTCGTTATGTATAATAGCTGTAATATCATTGTCACCTTTCCAAGTTGTTAGTCATACAAATGGACCATTCTTTGAATTTTACTTTTTGATAAAGAAACCCCATTTGTTGTTTAAATTGAATCAATCAATCAATCAATTAAATAAATCAGAGATCATTGATGCTGTGGCATTACCACTCATCAACCTCTTCATCAGTCTCTTCATTATTAGTGGTAGATGATTCCAGTCCGAGCTAAATCCAGCAGAAAAGAAAAAAACAATTGTGCTAATATATGAGAGAATTTCATCTAAGCAATAAAGTGGAAGAGTAAGTTTCGGGTTTTCATTTGATGGCTATAACTAAAAAATTGGTGAGCCAAAATTTTTTTTGCATATTAATTATTATGAGACCCATACATAATTTTGATCTACATATTTGACAGTGAATCATCATCAGTTGCCAACCAACATGACATTGATATGAACCTAAAATCTTTTAGAAATTATATAACTATGTAAACAAAATCACATTTCTCAGGATCCTGTGAATAAATTACCCCAATTCAAAACACATACCATTATCAATTATTATTGGAATCTCAATGTTTAAAAAACTTTTGTGATAATCATTAAAAGAATAGTTTTGTGTGTAGTTTCTTCTTTCAGCAATATGTGTATTCTGTTTTTAGCAAATTCATTGTGTAATCATGAAAAGTAAAAAGAATTTTTTAGATTAATAACGTTGCACAATTCACATGTAACCAATAAAAACAGATGATAAAATTCTAGTTATTACTATCATCAACTTTTTGATGATGATGACAACTGCACCTATACTTAAATCAGGTTTACAAAAAGAAGTAATAGATTTTTATCGACAATGTTGTAGGGCTATAAGAAAAAAATCAACTGTAATAATAGATATATATATATAATTTCCATTCTTCTTCATTTTTAATTTGCAATCATTTAATCATTTAATAAATTATAGGAGACAAGACCAAGATTTCAGGAATTTGTTCGTATTCAATTCAGGCAACATAAAATCTCATCAAAAGATCATTCAGCTATAGAATATTTATTAAGACGAGGAAAAAGACAATTAGAAGCTTATCAAGATGATAGTATAAAGGATGTTACATTATAACAATAATATTTTGAACTTTTGAATAATTATTTAATTTTAAATGATGATTGTATTTATTTATTATATTTGCAGAAATATTTATTATTGAAGATTTTTTTTGAAAAGTTTTCTAGCAAAATAGTTTTACAAGGATCTCCCAACATTTCAAATCAAAGGTTGTGAGAAATATCCTATCTTAGCATACATGAATAAAATTTTTTAAGTCCATACAAGAAAGTTAATCTTTTTTATTTCAAAAAAAATAATAATAATAAATGTTCTGGTTGCTTCATTAATTTATTTTCAATTTCATTAACAGTTATGATTTTTTTTTGCTTTTCTGATTTAGGTATTTGGGTAGTTTTCCAAGCTCATAAGCAATAAAATGGTAAGTAATTACTATTGTCGTTACAGGCTCTAGGATTTAGTAAATAAATAAATAATTTCAAAATTATATTTATAATATATCTGGAAACAAATCTTTCTTACAATGTTCATAAGTAATTTGCTTTTTGAACCAAGAATGTTCCCTTTATATTAAATTTTTTGATTTCATTCAATGAATAAATCCATAAGTTACATTACAACTATAAATAAAAATGCAACAAAATAATATCCTAAATAAAAGGATTGGAAATGTATAGGTAAGTAGTCTATTAAATCATTAAATAAATTCTTATCCTGTAAATCAATTGTATAAAATTTCATTCAAATTTTATAATAATAATATTTGAAACCAAAAGCATTACATTTGAAATCTAAGATGAGTTCAACATTCCCATATTTACAAATTGTCTAATTCAATGGATTGATTTACTATTTTTTGGTTTAAAAAATGAGTAATCATTTTCATAAGTAAATGGTATATTAAAATTATAATTTTTATAAAATAAAATATTCAGTATAATTAAAAATAATTATTGTCAGCATTATAAAAACTACCATGTAATCAAAGTTCAAATAAGGATTTTGGTATTAATCTGATATAATTATTTTTAGTAAACTGATATATCTTTTACTGTGTGCATTCCTAATAACTATTTATATATAAATAAATCAAACAAAAATATTTACATGAAGAAATTGTAATATTGTCACCAATTATTGTTTGGGAGAGCGTGTTAATTGATGATAACAATATAATTTATGTTTATGTGGATCAGAATGAATTGGCTACTAACGAATTAGTTTTATTAGCGAATAATTTTGGTTTAGTGATTTAAGAAAAACGTTTTATTTAGTCGAAACTAATTTATTAACTTATTTCTAAGTTAATTTTTATTATGAAACTTTTAGACAAAGTTATCACAAAGTTATTTTACAAGCAAGTCGAATTTGAGCTCCTTTTATATAATTAAATTAATTAATAACAACTTCATTGCAATCTAACGTTCTAGCTGCGATATCGCATTTTAATTGCGGCGTAACATTCTAACCGTGACGCTAATTTTGACGCTATACGAATAAAAATAAAAATGTAATACAGATAAAATAATAAAATGTAAATAAATATGAATAAAAATAAAATAAGAAATAAAATATAAGGAATAAATAGATGTAGATATAAAAATAAAGTAAAATAAAGTAAAAATAGAAATAAAAGATTTGATTCGGAATTAGGGTATTTCGACTAACAATTTAGCATTAAATCCTAATTCTGGTAACAATATTATATGTTAATAAACAACTATATAGTTTCGACTTACTGGAAATGATTTATTAAATAACAGGGTCCAATTATAAAACCTCATTTTATCTTTAAAAATTAGAAATGGCATAAATCTTTGGCATGAACTCATCATTTAAACAAACAAAATTTATCCTTGAAAAAAAAAAATTTTTAGATGGAATTCACAATATTTCCCTTTGAAAAATTTCTAAAAAATAATTTACTATGCATTATAAAAAACTCGGAACGTTTTATTTCATCAAATGGGGCATGCTACAACAAAACCAGACAAAGTGGACATTGGTAGCATGGTGGAATTTCTCTTTATCACATTTATCACTTTGTGACGATCTCAAATTTATGTAGTGTGACTATATAATTTTAAAGTACTTCGTATAATAAAAATGTGTTTTACAATTGCGAATTTCTTGTTTTTGTATTA